CCAGTGGCTACAGGGTCGGAGCTACTGATAACACTTCCCAAGTGCTCGGCCATGGTTTGCAAGTAGGCGCCGCACAATAAGTCGATTTCTTCGCCTGAAGATTACTCTCGGCGCAAACAGGGTCTGTCGCTCGAGACAGAATGACCAGAATGGGCTTGTTAGGAAATTTGGCATATCCGAATAAGACCGATTCATCAGTAACCGATCATCGCCGATATGTCCGGAGCCCGCATTATCGTAGTGCCCTATTCTCGTAGCGCTCTCGCCATTGGCTAGGTAGCCCCTACTCTGTACGTCACGCTAAAGTCTACTACCCCCTGCTCCACGCTTACCCAAGCCCGTCAGGGGCCCCTTTTGAGTCTCTTTTGTTACTACTTAGACCTCAGTGGATTACTCCATCCACTCCTACTAAACTCGCACACCCTTTTGCGCTCGTGACAAAATCATTCATATTGCCCCATGCTTCTACGTTTAAATAGACGGCGTCCGGGCCACCTGGGAGAGGGGGTTCCCTTTTTGCTTGCTTTTGGACCGTGCAGCACTGAGCCTCTGGCTACACTCTATCCTTCATACATTTCCTGTTTTTTTCCCCCTCGGGCGCCCTAGTCATTGCGCCGGCCATCCGCTCACAGCCTTTGTCTTGCCATGATGAATATGGAGTGGGCGGGCGCTCACGGTCTGGCCCGTTGACTAAAGATCGCGCAGCCGAGGCATGCTCCCTAGTGTGCATCTTTACTGAGCTAGTGTTGAGCTGAAGAGCATGGGTTCTAGGAAACTCGTGCCTCTTTGGGAGCCGTGTAGCTTATTTGAGCACACTAAGAGCCTTATTAGATCTACGTACCACTAGCTCCTGACTTTCATTTTAGATTTTCGACTATTCTATACTAGATCACTCTCTATCGAATGACCAGAGAGATCATTAGTGTGATGAATCCAGAAGCCAAACTACATTGAGTGTTCTATCGTTCAATTTTGGCTCAGTGCCTTATGATGCTGCCGTGCTGGGTGCAGGCTAGAGCACAGGCTAGAGCACATGCTAGCTCGCAACGAACTGGAAGTTCACTAATATATCTAACTACGCCCCTTTGCACAGAATCGGCGGCAAGATGACACTGCCTAATGGTCAAAGTTTTATTACAGTCTAAAAGTCAACTGTATTATCGTGAAGATGGCCAGGTCCATAAGAGAAATTCTTTTAGCCACAGGGCTCTGGTTTTCATCGCTCTATGAGCTTGCAGATGCAACATCGCTAGAACGCCGTGGCTGTTCAGGAAACAATCTAATACGAGCTCTCAAAGATGATCGCTATTCAGCCTACGCGAGTCCATGGTGCAGCTCGTACATTTCGATTCCCGTCGTAACATCGACTGCCACCGGTGGTAAGTAACCAGACACCGACAATGATATCATCCGAGACCTTATCAATGTTCTCTAAAATTCTTGTGCAGGCGTTGCCACCGAAACAAGCTTCTCACCAAACAGCAACACAGTCACAGTCACGGAGACCGACACATTCCTTGCAACGGCGTCTACCACAGTTCTCGCAACCAGCACCATTGCAAATCCTTCTACCCGCACAGTGACTGTGTATAGCTATTCCAACCCCCAGCTAATAAGAACTGTAATAGCATATACCGGTACTCAAACAGTCACAGTCACTCTCTCAAAAACAGCGGCGGTAGCAAAACGAACGGTCAGCATACCCGACAGCCTAGACACCATTTTATCCAAGTATTCCCCGTCCTCGTTGACCAGCGCCTGCTCGTGCTTGTCGGTGCCTCCAAGCACGACGATCGTGACCGCGCCGGCCACAACAACCACCCAGGTTGTCCAGAGCGCTGCTGCGACAGTCATTTTGACCACTGGGCTCTCAAGTACAGTCAATGTTGTGTACAGCTCTACCGTTATTATCTCCACTGTTGGGTACACTACCACCCGGGTGGTGCAGGGCGAGCCAGAGTACACGGCAACGACTACCGTTAGCACCGGATACACCGTGTCATCAACAGTTTGCGCATATACCAATTCTCCCGTGTCAAATCCATCTTTCAGTAATGGTCTCGACAAGTGGACAACTGTCATTGGCGGTGGCCAACAATGGGTCTCCGTTGGTATTGACAATACAACATCTCACGATGCTGGCGGCTCATCGTTCGGCCTTCACTACAATAGCATTGGCACTTTCCTCGGCATCAGGCAGGATATCACCGACCTCTGCCCGACAACATGGTATACCCTCTCCATGTGGATATATGCAGATGCTGCGACGAACTGTTGGCCGTACATGACAGTAGGCGGAGGTTATCAATTTCTCAAATCCACGGCAATTGTGCAAGGGTCATGGAACAAATATTCTGCGTCCATATATGACTATGGGACAACGACGTCGGCTGGCTGGTATGTCTGGTGCGATTCTGTCACATCAGGGAGCTTTTACATAGATGATGTTTCTATTGCTAGAACATGAACAGGTCTCACTGAATGGGAATCTAGTTAAACATTGTTACTACCTATTTGAATACTAATGCTAGTGAAGATATTGCGACCCAGTATTACATTGTTACAGGTCAGCTATAGGTGATTATTTGATGGAGTGTGTCTTTCTCATGTACGAGACGTCCTGCCAACCGACCTCCGTATTTTCTAGACACTTCCGTCTTTGTTATAGTGTCCACAAAAAATCTAATTAATTGAAGACATGATGTGATTGCCGTGATTTATAACTACATTAGTTGCTCAAATAATAAGCTGAGACCCTTCTGGCATTCATGCCATAATATTCAGTGGATGAAACTCGTCAACCTAGAGTTCTAGGCCAAACGCACTAGATCGGTATGCATCAGTTTCTACCACACCAGCTTATGGTTTGGTTGTAGGAAATGTTCCAGTGCCTAGAATATCACCCTCCTCCTCATTACCATTTTGTGCCCGGTCGATACGGTACTGGCTTGTTTGAAACAGCCGAGGCATCTTCGTGTCTTCAAAGGATGTTCCTGTGACAACCATCTTAGCCAGCTCTTTGGCCGCCAGCCAGATAACTGGCATGCCATGACCATTAAATCCGGCCAGGATGAATTGTCCTTCTTTTCCTGGAACTTTACCGATGTGCGGGTTAGAGTCGTATGAATAGCCCATTACACCAGTCCAGATATTCTCCACTTTCGCCCCGCTATCCTCCCAGCCTCGGTATGTGCGCTGCATATAATTCTCGTAGTAGTCCTTCGCAGAATCGATCAGTACACTGTCGTCAACGTTATCATACCATTGCTCCCGGAACTCGCGAAATACGGAAGCAGCACCACCCACGACAATGCTGCCATCAGCTCGAGGAATTAAGTAGGAAAGCGTGTTGTCTTCGGCCCGGTTTATATAAGAGTTGTTGAGAAGCGGTGCTGTCACTCCTTCTGGGACTGTGATGTGACAGCAGATACCCTTGCAAGGAATGACGTTCTTGCTATATTCTGGAAGAAGTGCGGATACATATGCGTTACTGGCATGAATAACTTTTTCTGCTCGCATCCTCCCGCGAGACGTTTCAATAATAAAGCCGCCGTGAGGGTCTTTTACTATTGATGTAGCTGCCGTATGAGTTTGCAGGTTGACTCCTGCGGCGAGGACCAATCGCACAAGATGTATGATGAACTTGTAAGGCCACATTGTAGCAGCTGTGAAGCTTGCGCAGGCCACAGCACCCTTGACACCACAAATCTGAGCTCCTATGTCAGTACAGATTTCTACTGTTGGGCAGGGGACTTAAGCCGCTAACTCACGCCTTCAACTCTTTCACCAGTGTAAAAGACGACATCATCCATATAGTCAAAATTCTCAGCGACCATTTTTTGGTAAACGTCTTGGGCCCTCTGGGCGGACTCTTTGTTACACCAAACATCGATTGACCTCGTCAAGGTAAAATCGCAGTCGATTTTCTCTTGGTCAATAATTTTCTTCAAAGCGCGCAGAGTAGCGATCTCGAACTCGGCAATTTCAGCGCCTGCTCGCGGTCCCGCTCGATCTATGTACGTTGGTATGTGACCATAGAAGTCAGGTCGGCAATGGCCACCGTTCCGACCAGTTGCTCCGGAACAGACACCGCGCGACTCAAGTATGCAGATCGACTTCGTCGTACCATCTTCTTGGGTGAGATGGTAGGCTGCGCTGACTCCCGCATATCCGCCACCAATGATGACGATGTCGCTGTACTCGGGGAGTGATTCTGTTGACCGATGATCACTTAATTCATCGCGTTCATCTTGCCAGAAACATCGTGCCGGGATAGGTGCGGGGAGGCATTTTAGTGTGCCAGCTGTATGAGTTGATGTGTTGATTGTCGCTGCCATGTTTGTGTGGATTTGAAGTACCTGAAAGGTTCCCAGCATCCAGATTCAGGATGAGCTCCGCGGACTTACAATTGTTCCCATCATTTAGCCATGCTATCTATACCCAGCAGTAACGTGACAGTCGACTTCCAGGTTGACCGGACCGGAACTTCCCAAAGTGGAAAACCAGTGCCGGACCAGATGACTAAACTGTATGCGCAGGCCCTATCAGGGGAAACCCACTTTCGTGAGGGTCCTTTACACGCTGGCGTGCAATCATCACAATTCTCGCAGAGATCGATGCGACCTTCACCATGTACAGTGCCGGTCGTATCCCGGTCTAGTCCACCAATGACCATGAGGTCGTTTCTAATTAGCTGGCGATAAGCTTGAAGGTGTAAGCAGTCCTGCCATGCAAATGGGATATGTACTTAGAGGACAAATACTCGAGTTCCCTCCGATAGAGGACTTAACCAGCAGACTCTTCTTTTTTTTCTTTTCTGGAAAACGCTAAAGAAATCGAAATCTAATATAATGATGGCAGGACCTAGTGAGGCTGCGACTTCTTCTCTCAAGGATGCAGGCGGGACCGATTTAGAACAGCATCGCGATGTCGAGAACGCCGCAGGGCAGCTGGAAGAAATTCAGGATTTTATACAAGGTCTCCATCAGCGACACATCCAAATGATTGCCTTAGCAGGAACTATCGGAACTGGTTTATTCCTCAGCTCGGGCCAGGCTATCGCAACTGCAGGTCCTCTGGGTGCTTTCCTTGCATATCTGGTTATCGGGCTTGTCGTTTCAAGCGTCGTTTTCGGTGTAGGAGAGATGGGTGCTTTGGCACCCCTCGACGGCGGAATCATTCGCTATGCAGAGCTATTCTGCGATCCTGCATTGGCATTTGCGAACGGGTGGAACTTGGTATACTCTTACATCGTGTCCATCCCTGCAGAGATTGTGGCCGCCTCCGTTGTTATCGAGTTCTGGTCCTCCACCAACAGCGCGATTTGGATCACCGTGTTGGCAGTCCCGATGATCATTACCTCATACGCATACGTTCGAGTCTATGGAGAAATAGAGTTTTGGTTCTCAATGTTGAAAATCATTCTTATCGTCGGTGTCAACATTATGGCATTGGTTATTACATGCGGTGGTGGCCCGAACCATACTCCCATCGGCTTCACCTACTGGAAAACTCCTTACGGGCCCTTTGTTCAATATCTGGGGATTGGTGGTTCTCTGGGTCAGTTTCTTGGATTCTGGAAGGCATTAAACAATGCTCTCTACTCCTACTCCGGGATAGAAGTCATCACTGTTGCCGCTGCAGAAACAAAAAGTCCGCGTCGCGCCATTCCTATGGCTGCTAAGCGCATATTTGTTCGGATTGCACTTTTCTATGTCTTGTCCATTTTCATGGTCGGCTTGATCGTCCCATCCACCGATGAGCAGCTGCTCCATTCCTCCGGAACTGCGTCTCAATCTCCATTCGTCATTGCAGCTCATAATGCAGGTATCAAGGTCATACCGTCCATCATCAATGCGGTCGTTTTGACCTCCGCCTGGTCGTCAGGGAATTCCAATATGCTAAGCGGTTCCCGAATCTTGTACGGAATGGCTGTCGAAGGCCACGCTCCAGCAATATTCATGCGACTCAGCCGATTTGGCGTCCCATATGTTGCCGTTACCGTCTATGCAGTTTTCATGGGACTTGGATACATGACTCTCTCGAACTCGGCAAGCACAGTGTTTACTTGGCTACAAGACCTCGTCTCGATATCCACTCTTGTCAACTGGATAACCATATGTGTTGTTTATCTGCGATTTATCTACGGGTGCAAAGTACAGGGCATTGATCGCCACAAAGAACTCCCCTGGGCCGCCCCTCTTCAGCCATATACAACCTGGGCGTCTCTAGCTCTGTTCATTATTTTATTCTTCACGGGTGGTTTCAGAACCTTCATCCACGGCAAATGGGATTCTGAAAGCTTCGTCTCGTCTTATCTGAATTTGCCACTCATTGTGATTGTCTACTTCGGCTACAAGATTTGGAAGAAGAGTAAAATAATTCCTCTGAGGGATATCCCAATTCGTCCTTTCATCCAAAATTACGAAAACAATCCTGAGCCGGAACCGAGACCCAATCGTGGTCTCAAGAGGCTGAATATTTTGTGGAATTGAAAGTGAACAGGGTTAGCACCTGCTGGTATGCGACCAACGGATTTAAACATGCTATTTGTAGGGTAGCTTGACTTTGGAGACCTGTGTCCGTTATAAATTGGTCATTGAAGAAGTAAAATTTACCTGGCGGGAGTGGCAATGAGCAACACTCTAACTTAGTTTCATTGATGACTTCAGCCATATGGAGTGAAATATATCTGTTCTTCTTCAAATGATGAATATTCTTTGATGAAAATCGACTCCGCGTGATCTATGAGATATCTTCATGAATATGCTAGAACTTTGGTCCGTCCTAAAACTATTCCGAAATTGTGTAATAGTACTTTAAGAAGTCGTGCCTCTTTGGACGGGTATCGACTAAAGAAAACACACACTGGTCATCTTGCTTGACTGTGGAGAGAACAAAGTGGATGGACAATCACCTGTGACTCGCGTATCTCTAGACTCATGATAATATTAATGCGTAATATGAATCTATCCAATCAAATTGGACCGGCCCGGTATGACCCTTCTAGGTAAGAGGGCAAATGCCGGTGGGGCTTGGCTCTCCCGGTTGACGAATTACGAGCGCCTACCTTCCACAACTTGTTACGTCGGACGGTGTATTGATAACCTCATATGAAACAATAAGGCACTCAATCATTCTTTGCAGAAATCGCTTACGATTATACTGTACCTCAGACTGCTTGTCATCACTCCGAACTTCTCACCATCTCCCATCAAAAGATCTCACATCATGGCCCAGCAAAAGCATGTTGTGTTTGATGTTGTTGGAACGTGCGTGTCTTTCGACGCCTTCTATGACACCATCCATCGCGAGATTGGCGAAAAACTCATTTCAAACAACATTACTGCTCGAGCTTTTGGATTCAGTTGGATGACGGCTGCCGAGCTGGAATTTACGTTTCTGTCCATCTCGGAACGCTATAAACCGTACAGAGATGTTCTGACCGCCCTCTTCTTCCGCACATTGCATATGTTCGGTATCGAAGAGCCGAGGCAGTTCGCAACAGAGTTGGAGCGCGCTAGGTGTGTTCAAGGGTATTCGGAGTTGAAACTGAGGCCAGGGACCAAGGAATGCTTTTCTATTTTAAGAGACGCAGGATTTACCGTTTGGTGCCTGACAACAGGTGATACAAAACGGGTTCATGGATATTTTGAGCGAGCGGGCGTGGAAATGCCGCTCGAAAACTTCATCAGCTGTGACACTCAGGGGATTGCCAAGCCTGCGTTGGGGGCTTACAAGCCTACGCTTGATCGTTTTGCACATAATGACATCAAGTGGTTTGCTGCCGCTCATATGTGGGACGTATCAGCTGCCGTAAAGGTCGGGTTTCGCGGTGCTTATTGTACAATTTATGAAAAAGAATCTTGCACCGAGATTTTCGATACAACAATGGATGTTACGTCGGACACATTACCGGAGATGGCGGAGAGGATCGTGAAGGCGTCGTAAGCCATTTTCTCCAAAATAAACACTGGAGGTTAGATCGCGAGGTTTTCGCTGCTATATTACATTGATATGTACATTAATGTAATCCACCAATGGTTTTGTTTCCCAAATACGACACAATTATCTAAGCAGCCACGGATCATGAGAATAGATCATCTTCTATGACTTCCCGCATACTGAGCGTCTGAAAATAAATTCCCTAGCATTTCTGCCTCGGTGTAAGTGGGCCATTCAGCAGAAGGAGAGGTCTGGTTCTCAAAGAAGCACATCTCAGCTAACGGATCATAGCCTCCAAACACGTCGAGACTGATATCCATAGCGGAACGAGCTTGCAAATCGAGTTGCATGAGCCGCCAAGATGACCCCCTTGCGTCTTCAGCTTGCCTGGTCATAAGATTGACACTTGACCCAGTACTCTCAAGCGAGTCTGCTCCCGCTCTTTTTGCTCCCCAGTTTTGGAAAGCATCATAGCTTGATGCTCCAAGGACATTGTCATCGTTTGAAGGCCCTTGGTGTACTCGTGCATGAAGATGAGCAAGGGCGCGTTCCAGCGACTCGATCAAAGCCACCTCAGATCGAGCTGACTCTCCAGACGCCGACATATCTCGAATCATGCTCAGACCCTCGCATAGGGGTTTGCGGAACCTTTCGGACATATTTGAGATAGACGATGCAATCAGAACAAGAAGAGATGCCCTACAAGCGCTATACTCGAGGTATGAAGCCCGCGCCAGACCATTTCCACTATCGCGTAGATGTTGACAGAGTCCAAGGGCCTCCAATGCTGCTTGAACACAATTACTCACAAGATCCTCACGGACACTCATAGAACTCCGTGCGCGCTCTGAGGTGATATTGTAATTGTTCCCTGCGATTGGCGAGCTAGTATCGGAGTTCGGCGTTTCCTTCTTCAATAGAAACGGCCTTCCAAGAAACATTCTTACTAAGCAATACTCCAGCTTGATATGAATTCCTGAACGGATATCGTTTGTTTGGTGCGCTTCTGAATGTGCAGCATCTAGAGGCAACTTATCCCACCACGAAGTAAGCTCGGTCTTCTTCGTCAGTAATTGAGACACTGTTTTGGGTATATCTGGTTTCGGACAGCTTCGCAGAACCTTGCTGTTGCCTTGTCAGCCATGAAATATTCCACTGTATTAGTAGCCCTTAGGTGCAGTACATTCCGTAGAACAAGTCTTCAAGGTAATGAGCAAGCTGAATCGATATTTGCGCGAAAGAAGTGCTTCTGCACGAGGTTTGTGATGGGAAATCGTGTTGTGATAGAGGCATGTCTACGTCAATATCAGACCGAAGTACCGAAAGCGGTCTGCCATGAAAGATCGAGATTTTCCTTAGGCCAAGTTAGCAGTAGTAAAAATATTTGTCACACTTGCACAGCCTCACCTTTCCAGTACATACGCCGTCCACCAAACTCGATTGCGAATTTCCGTCATAGCTGGAGAGAAAGCATCGTTTGTACACTTGCGATGCATGCCATTCTGCATGGCAAGTCTGATTGTCAAGCTGATGTAAATAAAACCGAGACCAGAAGCATCAACAGGGAGGGCGTAATATCCAAATAAAAGACATGCCTGCACGCTTTCGAGAGATGAGGCTTCGATGATCTCAGGCAGTAATCTGATTGCTTGCTGATAAAACATTGTCCCTATTGCGTCCTCTGAGAAAGCTGGTGCTGAGCCACCAATGTTGTACTGCTTGGAGGATTCAAGATGGGCATACTGAGTACCAATGGCGAAAATAGTCAGAAGGATAGCAACAATAGCTTCGCCCCCATCTTTAGTGAGACGCTCAGGCTCACTATATAGTAGAGTTAATTGTTCATGAACCCATGACTCTTCAACAAAGAAGAGATAGCTCTCTGTGTATCTGAAAAATATCTGTACTAAAAACGCGGCAACATGGCGTGGGGGACAAGACGAGATAGCCGACGTGAGAATTTTGTGTCCCGGACGTAGTTGGTGGGCTCGCGGAAAGTTCGATGCATGGTCGGGGTCACTGTCATTATTCTTATACAAGAATTGGTCAATAGAGATGCAAAAAAAGGTCGTTAATGATATCAGTACGTACCCGAGCTTCTGAGTCTTGGAGTTGGCTTTCGAGATGGCTTTTGACCCGTATGGAGAAGTTCCAGTAAGAGAACTCTCCAGAGAAGTCTACAAGAACTTAGTATCCGATTTGAAGCAGAAGACATGGGAGGGCCTCTTCGACTAACGAGTTGTGGTACATCCGACCGGCTGTATCGTGCACGCCTCATCCTCAATCTCGAGCGTGTCTGCGTCTTTGGCGTCAGAAGAAGCCACGAGTCCCCTTGAGCTGTCATGGTCAAGCTTCTGTACTATCTTAGCGAGGCTTTTGGTATCAAGAGAGATCCCCTCTATCGTATGTTGCAGTATCCGCTCCATGTACTTCGATCGTTGTAACAGTTCGTGATGTTCTGGTCGTTCCGGCTTCATCCTTCTTATTTTAGATGGTATGTCAACAGTAGATTATGATGGCCGGCGCACCTGGGAACATAAGGCCGAAAGTCTCCGACCTTTCGATCTGGGCTTTTTGTTTCGCATAGCCGTTGAAAATGAGCGCACCTCCTGCATGGGAAACCCCCTTCACATCTTTCTTTCAGCCGCCGGCACTCATCACATCTGTATCGGATGTCATGTCAAAATCCCCAGCATAACATAGGCTTGATTGATCACTCACGCTCGGGCGGCACGTTTTTGGCGCTTCATTGTTAGCTATTGTGTGAATGAGGATTAGAGAAGAGAGAGATTTGAGGAGAAGCCGACAGAAAGCTAGGGATATTTTAGCTATGACGCTAGCTCTGGTTAGTGTCGACCCACCACTGATAAGCTTTCAACCCCGAGTTTATCGTTTCTCCATGCATCTTCTCACTTGAAAGTAGCCAAGCTGCTGCAAATGTCATCTGTTTTTCAAATCTCATTTCAATGTCCATGAGAGTTTTAAATCGACATTCGAACGATGGGTTGGTGTCGTTTGCGCAAAGCTATTTGCTAATGATATGTTGAGCAGCCCTATCAACGTACGCCATTGGACAACCATCCACAGAACTTAAGATGCGCCCGAATCCCTCTTTCCCGAGGCAAGTAGTAAAGCAAGCAGCACACCAGCAAAGGAGGATTGCATAGGCGACTTACTATTTTCATTGCTAGTCGTCTGCCGTCCTTCGCGCAACTTACAGTTAGTCAAATGAGGAATCTAATCAATAGGCACAGCGTGTCCTCTCGTCCTTGAAATATTGAAAAGCTAGATACCATCTAGGCATCATAACACGAAAGGATTAATTGCTTTAAGAGAAATAATATGTGTAATATCTAAATAATCTCGGACAGCGTAGTACATTATAAGGTTTAAGTGACCGATTATTCAGTGCATGTTATCAAATATCTTTAGACTGTCCAAAGTTATTACGCCTTCCCTTACTTCAGGCAGCCCGTATGCGACACAGTGGAAACACGATCCTGAGTCGCCGCCAATAAATGTGAATGGTAACGGCTCAGAAGACGCCACGACGAACTAAACACCTCAATCTATCGATCACCACTTCCACAAGGCTGGTGCGAAAGCGTGATTGGTTGTTTTCAGTTGTTGGTGTATTTCATTTGTTACGTGAATTTCTTTAGGTTATTATCGCGTTATTCAGGAGACTTCCTGAACAGGATTGATAATTGTAGAGTTTATAAGATATATCATCTTAAGACCTTACTTAGAGGACATTCTCCTTATAATATAGCATATACCAGCTCTTTAAAGGCGTTCTTTCAGTTTTCGGCGGCATTGATTAATGGCCCGGTGGTCGATCAACACGGGCCTTTGGTACATTTGACGGCTTTGTCTAATTTTCGACAGATAGATACATATATTGGCAATCCAACTTTTATCGTCGGCTTTCCTGGCCTAGTTGGCACTCCAATCACAGGTATTCTCACCACTTGTTACCACTACACTGAGGGAATCATATCCAGTGTATCTGTCTTCATGGTTGGTGCCACAATCAGTATGTGGTTGTGGAATATTGCGATGCATCTCTTACAGCCATGCTTTGGGTTCGAAGCTTTGAAAATAAGTCGCTATCAATATCACATGAGTTGGAACATTTCCAACATACTTGGTTCTAGTCTTTAAACAATACGTGAAGCTGATGCACCGTTCTATCTCATGTCCACAATCCGATTTATCGAAAGAGTTTACTCAGATCATAAAATCGAAGTCGCTTCATAAATACTCATTCACGACACCATTCGTTCATCATTTTCGAGAAACAATCAAAGAATGAATTGTGTACGAAGGCCTTAGCTCGAATACGAGGCTCTATGTCACGTCACAGGTGGGGCAAGTCGTATCTTTGCTTGTTGTCTCGCGTTATTGCATGCTTCAAGCCGGCCATTTTGATCAAAAGTATATCAGAGATTAATGCAAAGGAGTAAATAGCGTCGCATTATCGTTGGCGTCATCCGAAGGACCTAGAATGTCACCCGTTATAATACTAGGGACTGGGTATCATATCAATACGGGAGGTGAGCTGAAAGAGTCAATGCGAGGATGCCTGCCGCCTTCCGATACAGCTCGCTTAAGCCGCATCGATCAGATCATTGTACAAGGTCACTAGAGTGCTAGAAGTGATGAAAGTCACATCAACTGTAACCGAGGTCAGTAAGGCGGCTCTTAACAGTTCAAATGTTGTCGACTTAAGCATGCCATGGATGCTTAGACGATCGTCTGAGGAACAAGCAAACTTCCCTAAGAGGCAGGAGAAGCGACTCGCTGTCTATTGGTCTATAATGCCTATCTGTGCTGAAGAAGATCACCTTTGGCGGCAGTATGGGAGGTGGGCGGCACCTCCCGTTCGTTTTAGAGTTGAGCTAGGTTGCAACCAAACCCATCATGGTCCATGCACTGCGACCCTTGCTAACCACAGACGAATCAGCGACCACAGCATCTCCGGCTTTTGATTAAGTCGCTAGTGCCGAACCGGCAGGTCGATCTTCATCTACCGGTTCTCCGTGATTTGTTGTAGCAATGACGAGAGCGGAAACCGAGTCTTGACAAGGCAAGTGACGGTGATCTTGCCCGTTTCTTAGCCTACATCCGGCCGCGAGACTTGACTAGAGCTGAGGTGGCAACCTGTAAGACTGCTTCATTAACTTGTTTCCAGGACTGGCCAGCTTCTGGACCCGGGAAGGTAGTATTACTAGGTGCAGCTGAGGGTTTTGTCTGTCGCGATGGCTTGCAAAAGGGTCGCGAAACTCTCCAGCTTCCCATTCGGGCATCTGAGATGTTCGCAAGGCGAATTGCATTATCGACGTAGAAGCTGAAGACGATATAAACACCTTCATTCCCTTTACAAGTCTCTGCCAAGTAGCCAAGAAAGCTTGTTGTTTGGACGTGCAGCCTGACTGTCGCATTCTTATCTCTCCAGCCAAAGAGCTTCTCTCATTTTTTCGCCCTTGCATACGTTCCTGCTTCCTGAGAACAAGATGGTGTCCTTAACGAACCTTTTTCTAGCCTCCATCCTTGCAAGCGTTGGTCTTGGCTCTGCTCTGCCACCCAAGGTTGGCACGACTGTCATCGACAACAGCTTTGGGTCTGGCACAGCCTCAATCAAGCAAGTCCGGAACCCAAACCACGTCTTCAATGGAGCGCTGTCTGTGTATAAGACTTATCTCAAGTACGGAGTGCCAATTCCAGAGTATCTAGAGGCTGCTGTTGCCAACTTCACGAATATCCTTGATAAACGTGTTACAGGCAGTGCCAGTGCGACGCCCATTGACACTTTCGATGATGCCTATGTCACGCCTGTGTCAATTGGCACACCAGCCCAAGTCCTGAATTTGGATTTCGATACTGGGTCCTCAGATCTCTGGGTTTTCAGCAGCGAGACACCGAAGTCTGAAGTCAATGGCCAGTCAATCTACACCCCAGGCAGCAGCAGCACGGCCAAGAAGCTCTCCGGATACACCTGGAGTATCTCATACGGAGACGGCAGCTCTTCTAGCGGTGATGTCTACACTGATGTCGTAACTATTGGCGGTGTCACGGCTTCTGCTCAGGCCGTGGAGGCTGCACAGCAGGTGTCTTCCTCATTCACCTCTGACAGTGCTATCGATGGTCTCGTTGGATTGGGTTTCAAGGCGCTGAACACTGTTTCGCCAACAAAGCAGAACACATTCTTTGACAATGTCAAGAGCTCGCTCAACTCGCCTCTCTTCACTGCTGATCTAAAGCATCAAGCTGGTAAGCTAGCATTGAATTTTGGGGATTGATTATCCTTTGGGAACCTGTTACTAACAAACTTTGATAGCTGGCACATATGACTTTGGCTATATTGACAGCGCAAAGTACACTGGCACCATCACCTATGTCAGTGTCAACACTAGCCCCGGTTACTGGACCTGGACCTCTTCCGGCTATGCTGTTGGATCAGCCTCTTTCACTTCGACCAGCATCACTGGAATCGCTGATACCGGTACCACCCTGCTGTACCTGCCTACCACCATTGTCAAGGCCTACTATGCCCAAGTCAGTGGATCGTCGAACAGCAACACCTACGGTGGCTACATCTTCCCGTGCAGCCGCACCCTCCCCAGCTTCACTTTTGGCGTCAGCTCCGCCAGGATCACCATCCCCGGCACCTACCTCAACTATGGACCAGTTTCAACTGGTAGCTCCACTTGCTTCGGTGGCCTGCAGTCCAGCGCCGATATTGGCATCAACATTTTCGGTGACGTCGCTCTCAAGGCTGCATTTGTTGTCTTCAATGGTGCTTCTACTCCAACTATTGGCTGGGCGTCCAAGACTTTGTAAATGATGATTGAATGGGTTTCTAGTCAAGGGCGTCGTTGAGCATGACACTAGGCTTGTTCGCATAGTTGTAGCATGGTTTAGTCCTTAGGCAGAGCAGCGAAGCTTATGAAAAGAAAGTGGTCGTACTCAAGCTGTAGCAATGTGATGCGGCTGAGATATTCTCTTGTTAGGTGAGATGTTAAGCCATCATATGCTTGTCTAACCGGATACGTCATTCGAGGCCTCTTGTATGGGGGAACGCGTGCGATACGCGCAGTCATGTGCTCACAGGCGTCTCACGGACGGTAGGCATTCCAATACGACAACTAGTTGAGTTCTGGCGTGCCAGTGGTTGTAGCACCGGTCATTGTTAAAACACAGTATTTTTAGCGCCTCGTAAAACCCACGCGGTGATCAATTTGCGACACTGTCACTATATTTATGACAAGTCTGTCTATTGACCGGATATGTACATCTAGGCAAATGCCCGGAGGGCAATCTATTTCTTACTTCAGGTAGACTTTTTAGGCACTAGCAAAGTGCGGAGCGTTGAGGAACAAGCCCATGAGAATACCACCAAGAGTACCGGCAATAGGGATTGTCATAATCCAGGAGAGCAGGAGCAGACCGACCCGCTGGAAGTTCACTGCCTTCAGTGTGCCGTTGCAAAGACCGACACCGACTGTAGCACCAGTGATACACATGGAGGTTGAGACAGGCAGGGAGTACTGGGAGAAGACGAGAACGGTGATAGCAGCGCCCATCTCCATGGAGCAGCCTCTGCTGGGAGAGTGGTAGGTAATCTTGTTTCCCATGACTGCGAAATTGATTAGCATAGTTGTTGAAGATCGTCAGCGAGCTTTGCTTACCCTTCATGATATTGTAGCCGTAGGTGATAAGACCGAGAGAGATAGTAGCAGACAGGACAGCCAGCTGCCACACTGGCACAGGAGCCTTGGATGCAGCTGCGTCACCCGTGTGCCAGGCCGAGTAGATGACAGCCCAGGGTCCGACAGAGTTACCAATGTCATTAGCACCATGAGCAAAAGACGCGGTGCAGGCAGTGAGGACCTGAACGAAGGAGTAGGTATGCTCAACCTCATTGGGGTACTTCTCCGCCGCCGCATAAACACGTGCCATACGCTCACCCTCAGGGGTTCCGGCAAGACCAGTCTGAGCGGAGTGAATGTCGTAGTGTAGACCGTAGAGAGCGCCACAGACTAGCATCGCGGGAATACGCTTAGCAAGAATTTTGATGTTGTGGAGTTCGTACATTTGACCTGGTCCCATAGGGTTGTTGTGTAGAGTACGCATAGCCCAACCGATAGGCCCGCGCTTCTTCCTGAGCTTGGCGTGGAATCTTGCTTGACCTTGAGCCATAATTTCCTTGTAGGTAGCCTGCTTGGTCTCACTGGCAATCATCGCCCTGTGCTTCTCTTCGGCGGGTGTAATAGTGGTCAGATCTCCGTTATCGGGCTTCATGTCATATTGGCCGGCTGACTTCAGAGAGTCAGACGAAGAATGCTCCTCGCGGTCGATCTCGTCTTCCTGAACCACAGCGTAGTTGGGAACGTTGGCACGCTCGGCATCTGGGGGCGCCGGGCGGCTGAGAAGGAGAGGGCCCAGAACGAACATATACCACTTGACAGTGTAATCCTTCTTGATGACCTTTGCGTAGACAAATGGTACGAAGAAGATAGCGGACAGAATGGCGAGACCACCACCGCAGCTCAAAGTAACAGCGGCAATATACCAGCCAGGCTTTTTGCTTAGACCTAGGTTTGGTGAACCCTTGTAGACAATGGACAGGGTGCAGATAGTGCCGGCAATGAGGAAGAAGAAAGGAGAGCTGTACACAGCCCATGGCACAGGGTTCTTGCGCATGTGCACAACGAGCTTGATAAGCATGAAGATGGAAGCGCCGAAGCCGCCAGAGATCGCAGGAGCCATGCCCAGGCCAGCGAAGATCGCACCCAAGCCCTTGCCATTGTTCCAACCCCACTGGACCTTGGAAGCACCGACAGTTGCAACACCAACACCTGCAACGGCGGAAACGAGGGAGTAGGTCGATGAGACGTGGGCAGAGTGGCGTGTGCACCACATGACCCACGAGGAAGCAGCCGCAAGGGCACAGGCAAATGCAAGCATTTGAACACCAGCATTATCCTGGAAAGCGGAGTTGGGAATAATGCCGTTCTTGATGGTGTCGGCTGTTCGAGCTCCGACTGTGATGGCTCCGAGCATTTCGAATACGGTGCCGAAAATCATTGCCTGTCTGTAGCTGACAGAGCGTGAAGAAACACTTGTTGCCCAAGAGTTGGCCACATCGTCTAAGAAAAACACTGATCAGCCTGTCTTGTTCCCCTGGGACAGCACCTGGAGTGCAAACTCACTTGCGCCATTGTTGAAGGCATCGAGCATGGCAAACAAGGTGCCGATGACAAAAACGTAGGTATACTCGTGGAGCACCATCTTGACGGCTAGAGAACGAACAAGTCTTGATGGATGATTACTGTTTGATACTATCTACAAGAACGAAATACTATGGAAGCAGCAGAAGGGCGAAATCAAGCTTTTATGTGCTGCGACAAGCCTGTCGCTTGCCCCACTGACCTCCCGTCTTGGGTCACCGAAGCTTGTAGACTTTGAAGTCATGGAAAGACTGTGGCAAGAGGACCTCTCCATGCCTCTTCTCGCCCTAACGCGATCCTGGTCCACGTTTCCCTGCTGCAGTGTATGATTTGCAGCTCGTGGCCATGGTAGGCCCCTTTGGCTGACGTGCTCGGTGCTTGATTCGGCCTAAACCCCCAAGACTTTTCGATCTCTCCGCGGGCGCCTTGAATGCTTCGACGACGATAAGCATCGCTGGCAAACTTGGCAGTCTCTTGGCAGGACTGAAGAGGATTCTATATCCGCGATATTGCGTGTACATTGGATTGTTGCTCGAGGATGCGGCTCTTGGCAGAGCTTGGCTGCGGGCATTCCGTCTCCCTATGAGAGCGCCCGAATTCCACACGTGGGTGCTGGTACTGGTCCCCAGCCGTCGTCGATCTCCCGCCAAGCCCACACTCAACAGGGGCGCCGTCTTACCCACCCACCCCACCGGTACTGAACAATTGCAGAACCCTGGAACATCTGCGTTCTCTGTCAATAATTGACCAATTGTGGCGTGAAGAACCATGGGCTGTGTGAGCGGATTGCTTTAGCTTCTAGATGCACGTCTGGCCCCCCAAAGATGGATGCTCCCTTGGCAATCTGGAAAACAGCTCGGCAAGCTAGTGACGGATTCAGCAACTTGTCACGATTCATGTCTCCGAATCCGATCTTTCTACTTGCGTTTCCGACACGTTGAAATTATGGGCCTCCAGACACGTGCCCAATCTCTTGGTATCCTAAGACGACATTTAATGAACGAGTCGGTGCTGAACGAATCTACTGGCTTCGCACCGAGATAACCTCATGAATAGCTTTGCACGTGCCCCCTTGAAGGCTGGTTAGCGTGATAGACATTGCAAGCCTTGTTATTCACTTTAAGACTCTGATCGCAGAATATGAGCCGGTTGCTTCTTCAAAAGTTGAACCATCTCGTTTGGACGAAAAGAACACCAGTAGAGTTCTGATTTGACAAGGATGCAACTGGCCGTAGTCTACTCGGTAGCATCCGGCGTGTAGGGCATGGCGGTTTCCCTAGTTTTCGAGATTCTGCCAATATGGAGCTGTAGGGTGAACGTCGTGTTCTACTTTGCTCTATGCTTTAAAGACGGAATATCCTGAATTAGACTGGTCGCCCGTCTGTCTTGTCATGAACGTCTCAATTCTCCTTTCTTGAAAATATAAACAGCGAGCCAGGATGTCCTACACCTCGCATAATCACCTGGATGCAACCCTTCAGACCCCCAATTGCTCACTGTGACAGTGCAATAACGGCTTATATTCTCTACGCGACACCCACTCTCTGCCTTGGAATCGTTGGATTACTAGAGATTACATGAGGCAATGTATCTGCAAATGCACTTGCGCCCTGTGGTGGATAAGTGGTATGTATAGCATTCCCTGGGAGAACGAATGGGAGTGCTTGTACATGAGAAAGCCAGGTTGTGGTAAAGGACACTCTTCCCCCCTCCTATAAAGAAGAGCGGAGATGCCCCTAGCCTAGATCCACTGCCTCATCTGGGGCGTTCCCAAGCTGCTTCTTCCGAAGGTACCTCTTGGCATCACGGTGGACGAGGTATCTCGGTGATCTAACATGATAGTAACGGATTGAGATTTGAAGCCAGCACAGTGTCATATTTTCAACTTGTCTCGGCCAACTTATTGATATGAATGGCAAGTTGGACGTCGTAGTTCCGAGGCCAAAGCCTATGAACTATTATATTTAAAGCTAAAGATCTTTTGACACGACCTAGGTCTAGAGTCCCGAGAATTGCGCAAGAGTGCTTGTGTAATGGAACAAAAATGAGATTCCCGTATGATCCTCACAGAAAAGAGACATAAGGCATTTATGGCGTCGTTTTGAATCGACACATCACCCACACCGTCTTGGAACTGTCCCCCAAAATGTTTTGCGCTCCCTAAACTTTATATAATTTGGGTATGTACCGCGGGTTGAGCAAGAGAAAGCCTCATAGATAATTAGAGCACGATAGCAAAGTTCCGAAAGAACTCTAAGCAAGCCCCTGTAGTTTCTAACGAGATCAGCACGATGCCCTCGCCGATCCGAATCCTAGTAGCTTCATCGTATCGGCCTCGTGACATACACCTACGGTCGCAGAAGCGGACGTGAGCGCTCAAGAAAGAAAAAGAATTAAGAACCGCAGTCCAAGACATAACAACAATTGCACTAACGCTAGCTGATGAAACAATATTACTTATTATGCTGGTGCAAGAGCCAATGTTAGGACAGCATTACACCCTGCCGCTGCTGTTTTCGCATTATATTTAGAAACATTCAATATACACAAAGCTTTGTCGAACCAATTGAGGTTGGTTTAGCAAATCGTATGCCGATACGATCTACCCGCTGGCGCACTAATAAGAGCGGCCCGAATAGATAGGTCTTGACTTGGAGAGCGATGATATGAATCCTCCAATCGGGATGTTTCGATACCGATCTGACTGCGAACTCTGGGGAAACCCTGTCAGGGCGACAGCTAAGGCTGCGGAAGCAGCAGATTGTTACATTATGGGGTGACCCCGCCGCGTTGTAGCCTTACTCAAGAAGTAACGCAGCCTAGCAACGTGACCTATTATCAGAGAGTGTATTCGAATATGTTGCTAGCACTGCACCCCTCTAGCAAGCACATTGAGCCCTTCACTGGGCGGGAGGTCGGAGTGACAACGCATTCCAATTCGCTATCTGGCAAGACTTGGCAATTGTCTTCTTACATGTGCGTTTCACTGTCTCGACTTAGAATTGCCACTGACTGGAAGCCAAGTAAGCAATAAGGGAAGGCCTTTGTGCAAATCCCGTAGCGGTGTAACGGCACTACGACTTAGCGACAGCCGTTCAGGGATGCACCCCCTCGGCTTCTGTCTCATTAAGACATGATATAATCTATGATTGGATGCCCTCGAATTTGCGGCTGGGGGTAGTTTCCGTTGTAAGCACGGGTTAATTGGGCCCGTCTACCCCTATCCTTAATTCTACAGTTGCAAGCTTGTTACGTTAGCAAAGATACAATATAAAAGGTCTTAGAGTTCTAATTCATATTTAGTTCATATGCTTTTGACACATGCGTTGTCTCATAGACCATATCGCTTCAGACTCGACGTTTTTCAAGCTTGTTTCAAATCGGCTAGTCTCCAAGATGCGCTTCTTGTCCATCCTTTTATCCGTCACAGGATTGATGACAGTCCACGTATTCTCAAACCCCACAGGTGATCTCACCGAAGTGGAGAGCATCGAGAAGAGAGGATGCAATACGGGCAACTGGTGCTGCACCGTCGCCAATCCAAGCGCCTACTGCGCCAAGTATTGTGCGGGTGGCAGTCAGTACATCAATTGTTACGAGAGCTATGTAAGCAAGCACTCATATCTTTCTGCTTTTGTTGTCAAAAGATGAGTTCTGTATTGATAATCACCCAGTGTCCCGCAAATGGACAGTGCAAGTGCAAGTGCCATTATTAAAAGGCATTTGCATGGTTACTAGCACACAGACCGGTGGTCATGGCTACGATGAACATAACTACGTCAAGGCCAGAGTCAATCGTGTAGTTCAAGTCGCAAAAGCAAGATGGCTAGATAGCATCGTTACAAATCACTAAGAATTTGTCGTCATGGGAACAAATACATCGGCAATTCTGAGTCTCTCAAATTACTATCAACTGCATATACGTAGTGAGAAGACAGGTCGTTCATCACGCATCGCAATGCGAAACACGGTTAACTATAAGGTCTTCTATCTTCGCCGTTTCATAGTTTCGTGGGGCATCGTAATCAACTGTGAAAATCGTAATTCCGACTTGGCAGTTCTTGACCACGTTGCTTTCACCAGGCAGCTCGCAATTTCCATTGATTCATTGATTTGAGCCATCTGTTACATAGCCTAGTACGTTGGTCCCGGCGGTCTGAACTAATCCACTTGTCTCGTTGTATGCCGTGAGGGGCATGCCTGAGCCTACCGTAAACCGCGACTGTATGAACTCTGGATGCTTGCAGGAGCAGTTGAGCTCGGGGATGTTGACGTTGATACCATATCCCAAAGGCAGCAGGGGTTGGCCATCTTTTGCATTGGTGGCAATGATATCAACAAACTTGACTGCTTGTTCTGCCGCAAGTGTGGCGGGATCGCCGGAGTTATCAGTCACCTGAAGGTAACTTTATGTTGGATTAGCTGCCGAAAACGCAATACCGGGGATGTTGCGTTCGATGGCAGTGTAGGTAGCGCCGTTAGTACCCGATCCAGTGAAAGCGAAAGTCCCAACATTGTTGCCGAAATTTGGTCCCGAAACAAACAAGTCAGGTTGGGAGAAGTTGCCAAACGTGGGCAGGATATAGTCCAGGCCCACCATTGTACACGACGCAGGTGTTCCGTTATAATACCAAATATGGCTATCATTAGGATCTTGACCCAGAGACGGAGCTCTCGCTGCAATGAGTCCATATTGAGACGAAGTAGTAGATTGGGTGAGCTTGCAAAGCTGATTCGTCCACCCTGGCCGGACTGTTCGAGCGCTGGTGCGACCAAGTATACATCGTGGCCGGATGCTACAAGAAGGAGCACATCAAACTCAAACATATATTTTGACTTAGAGGTAGTATCTGACAGTCCTGATAAAAGACTTTGGCGACGCCCGGAGCATGACAGAGTTTTGTGAGCTGTACCCCCTTGATAGATTAATGCAATAATAGACAAGAACTTGATGGGGCCGTGATTCGCCTAATGGTCGTGGCCTCCTCTTTACCCAGACTTATCAACAAGGGTTTACTTACTATGAGGTTTCTGAGACTCATAGAGTAACATGACTACAAA